CACTTAAATCTGCGGAGGCCTTTAAAAAGTCAGTGACGGATATAAAAAAAAATTGCATCAAACATTGCCAAATTGCATCATACAACAAGAAGAGGACAGGATATGGGCTGAATTTGACACCAATTTTAAGCAAGTAGGCCAACCCATCAACAATACGGCATCATCTATCAGAGAAATGGATAGGAGTGGATGAGGAGTACACCAGCCAAAAAGATGATCCACTGGTATGGTGGAATAATCGGAAAGCGCAATACCCGCTACTGATGCGCCTCTGTTTGATTAACATTTTTGTATCTTATAGCACTGAAATGAAGAAAACGAGTAGTATAAGTATTGTATAGTATAAGAATTCCTATGAGGAACTAAAAAATACAAAATCTGTGGCGAGTGAGCAAGTGTGCAACAAAGCGATCTAAGTGAGCAATATGAGTGACTTACTAAAAAAGAACAAGTGAACATGTTCAACAAAATGGACAATGTTTACCCAACACTATTGTAAACTGAGATCCCGTCGTTTTCCAGTCTCTCTCTTGTCTATCGATCTTTTTTTCCTATCGATGGTTGTTTGGCGGTGCCATCCCGCAAAACATTGGTGGTATTGTGGCATATGGTCTAGCACCCGCATTGGCGGGTTTATTAAATCAAGTACGACTTAAGGCTAGGCTGGCAAAAACCCTGTAGCTGAACCCTCCACGAGGGTGCCGGCTGGGCAATCGCCACTGCATTATCCCGGGGTATATGCACTGTCGCTTTTTCTGTCCGGGGTAATGCAGTGACTAGCTAAGGCAATGGTCCAGCGTCTTCTCGATCTAAAGTCGGGGGGAACTGAACCAGGGCCATGCCTAGAGGTGCCTGGCGGCCAGGCATAAGACGATAGGGGGTGGTCGCCCCGAAAAATATATACCAGTAACGACCTTCGTGCCAGTCCTGGAGGCGGTCAAAGGTTAAGCAAGGGTTGGGATGTCAACCCAAACGTCGGTGGGAAGCGTGACTGCTACCACCGGCGGGCACGGGGAGGAGCAATTCTCTGCATGTCGCCAGCGGTCACACCTCGCACTTGGCGGGAGCAGGCCAGGTCAGTTGTATAGCTACTGCCACAACGACAACTCACTCCGCAGCCTGCAAATTGAGCCGCACAGATGCCGTAGTCGAAACGGACACGGATCTGGAGAGCGTGCTCTCTCTAAGCAGGACGGCGGACGAGAGCCTTCTCCGCTCGCCGGAACCAGGCACCAGCTCCCTGTGTAGGGAAGGGCCGTAACGTTCCAAAGAGGGGATGAAGGCCAAAGCAAAGTACAAAGCGGACCTCAACATCAAAAGCCGGCTGCAAGGTAAAGCAGACATCTCCCAGGAGGAGAAAGTCAAGCTAGCCTGGGCCGAGCAGCGAGTAGAGGAGGGCCGGCTGCACTATGCTCAGATGCCACAAATGAGGGCGTGGAATGGCGAATTTGCCAATAAGGTGGAGGAGATGATGGCCACCATGAGGCAACGCTCGACTGAGAGTGCCATTAAGGACACTCCTGCGAGCAAGCGGCAACGCGAGCCCAAGAGTGCAGCTCCTCCACCGAAAGCGGCCAAGAAGCCTAGAAAGCCGAGAGCAAAGGTCAGCGATGTGACCAAACAACATCTGATCGTGGCACTCATCGACCGTAGCGAGGAGAACGGCAAGATGACCGCTGCACAGTGGAAGCTGGTGCATGCACGTCTCGTCGACGCACTGTTTGCACATGTTTGCGGCCCCAATGCCCACTTTCGATGGTGCTGGGTGGCTAAATGGGGTTAAAATCCTAAAGTGCAACGACGATCCAACCGTAAGGTGGCTGACGCGCACGGTCTGCCAACTGTAGGCGATGTGGGAGGGGGCCAAGCTGGAGGTTGTGGACCGGGAGCTTATCTCGTCCAAACCTAAGGCGAAGGTAGTCTTCCCCATCACAATCCAGGGAGACCGAGCGCTGAAGCTCCTTCAGCGGCAAAACGCGGACGTGCCAACAACCGATTGGAGGATCTAACACATTGGTAGCTCACTACCCAACGAGGGGGGCCAATGTGTGATCCTCCAAATAAATAAGGAAGCAGAGGATCTGCTGTACCCCAAATTCGGGAAGATGGCGTGGGGCATGGGTAGCGTCTACCTACGCCTCAAAAAGCGCCACCCCGAAGACAAGGACGCGCACAGCCTACAGGTAGGCGAGGCCGTGGAGGCCGCCCAGGGTCTTGCGCTCGAAGACGCAGAGGAAGAAGAGCCAGCCACCCATGCTGCTGAGTGTGCTGCAGCTTAACTTGCATAAAAGCAAGGTAACGTCGGCGGAGCTTCTCATCGCCAAGGAGCAAGGGCTCGCCGACATAGCTCTAGTCCAGGAGCCCTGGATTGCGACAGGCAACTCAGTGGCCGGACTAAAGTCCTCAAATCACAACTTGTTCTACTCAACATCGGTAAGCAGGAACAGAACCGTCGTACTCGTACAAAAGGGGATCCACCTTATGTCTCATTTCAGCACGGATGACCTGATGGTAGTGCTGCTGCAGAGCGAGGAAAAGCTGCTTATGGCAACTTCCTGCTACATGGCACACGCACCACCAGACAAACTTAGGACTGTGGTGACAGAGGCCGGCTCTAAAAATCTCCAACTTCTGATTGGTGCAGACTCCAATGCCCAGCACAATGTGTGGGGAAGCCCCGACATCAATGGACTTTATACTATCAACTTAGAAGTAGAAAACGTGGGGGAAGAAAAAATCTTCGTAGGTCCAACATCGTCAAACGTGCTAGACCTAACAATCGTAACGGGAAAGAGTACTCTGGTATCTGGCTGAAAAGTTCTCTAAAGACCATCCTTCTCAGTCATAGCTTAGGTCGATAGGTCGCTTAGGTCCTTGCCTGGCTTGAGTTCCAGAACAGGCCTCTGTCGTTTCCATGCTATTGGTACCTTCCGCCGGGTAAGAGCTGACCCGGCATTTCAGGGCCGCATTGGAGACTCCATCGTGGCCTGCCGCTTTGCCGTTCCCTAGTGTGGCAGTAACCTCCTGCACCTCCCTCACAGTGAAGGTGGTGGCCGCCTGACCCAAGTCCTCATCGCTGTATGCCTCCTGGAGTAGTGGTTGCCTTATTGCACTCGCTGTTGTATTTGTAAACAGCTGAGATGCCAGCTTGACTGTCCCTATGCCTTCACCTCCTCCTCCGTTACTTTCCACATAACGAAAAGGTCTGATGAGGAAGCGTGCTAATAGCGGTTTGCTACGCTATAACATTCCCATTGTTGGAGTGGGCAGGCGTCAGAGGAATCCAGATTGTGATCGCAGGAGGAGTTCGTATGTGCAGCTTCAGATTCACTTGTAAAACGACTTTCAACTTGAAGTCCTTGGACATAGGCGACCGGATCACAGATACACAGGCCTGTGTACAGGAGGTGGAACGCCTTGAACAGCTAAGCGTCGATCACTGACACGGCGACAGAGATCAATCAGCGTGCTAGTCTCATAGGTTGTGGCACTATTGTCGATCGTATTGTCGCAGAATTGTCTAAAAGTAAATGTTCCCTTGGCAGTGCTTGCATTGGACATCGCGTGCGGCGGCCCCGGATAAGTCGAAGCTTGAAGAAAATTAGGAATGTACTAAATCAATGAATTATAACTAAATGAACTAAATTTATCTTTGTCAGAGCCTACGCGCGAGTAGGTGGAATGGTTCTTTGACTCCATAGGCAGCAGGACGACCTTCGCCATCAGTCTTTTGATAAGATACGTTTTTTGTACCCGACGTAGTCGCCGTTTCTAAACCTAGACGTAGCCCGAAACGTCGTTTCTTGACAACGACGAGGTCTCCACTTGCTGCGTCTGCGCAACTCTCGAAGATACTCTGTATTCCAGAGCCAACAGAGTTGCTGGTTGAGAGCTTTGAGATGTTGCCAGCTGTTCAGAGTGGAGGAGGCGCTCTCTTTGCTCTCTGGTTCCGCCACGGAGAGTAACGGAACACCGATCAGGAAGTGAGCAGGGCTTAGGGCTAGCGGGTCAGTCGGATCCTCGAGCATAGGAATCATAGATCGAGAGTTAAGGCAGGCCTTTATTTTAACGAGTAAGGTGGCGAACTCATCCACTGTGTATTTGGACGTACACACCCATTTGTGAGGTTGCCGGAGGGATGAACCGTCAAGTTAGGCCCACGCGGCTGTACGCCTCAGAAGTCGGACTTTGACTGGCCCCGAGAAGGTTTACGGCCAGGGCTTTGGGAGCGCCGACAAAATTCCTTCGATTGTCGGATTCGACTTCGTGGGGGAATCCCCTTCTCTCAAATATATTGCGATCATATGTGCTGACAGAGTATCGGGTATTAGTTGTGCGGGATACGCCGCGACTCACAATGTTTGGTACTGTTGTTTGCTCGTTTTGAAACCAGCCTCTGTGGGCATATCATTTATTCATGTAAGCGTAACAGCGCTCTGTTAGCACAGCTTCTGTTAGTGGCTGGGCAGACAACTGTTGAGTGAACGAGAGACCCACATCACCAGAGAGCGGTGCCTGTGATGGCGATGCACAGCGTAATGAAACAATTATACGAAAGGTACGACCATCTCGCTCTTCGGTGGCCTAAGTTGTTTCTCCATTATCTTACGCCCGCCTCCTTACGTCAGTGCCTAGGATTCATTTTCCGCCTCTACTAAATGCATTTCGTCAACGTTTTTCTATACTTTAATGAATAAAAACCAAAACATGACTATGGAGTATTAATTCAAACACATTGGCACAACGTTGGGTTAAACCAGCAAGAGGCCGCTCACTGAGCTGCCGCCACCTTATGAATAGTTTTACCATGCACAGAGCTGGCAGAAGCAGAACAATTTTTTCTCTCGTGGCGTTAGGTTGGCACCTAAGTGCGCGCTCTGTCATTTTTGTCCGCCTTGTCTCGTTTCGTCTCGTCTTGTCGCGTCTAGTTTCGTTGTCTCTCGCTTTCGCGTCCGAAATGTTTGTGTTTGTTTGTTAACAATATATTAGCAATGTTTTTTTCTGTGTTTCGTGCTATCGTGTATTTTTTGTATTGACAAAAACATCGGGCGTGTGTGCTCAGCTTTTGTGGGTGTGTGCGTGCGAGCCTTCCTCAACACAGCAGCAGAGCAAAGCAGTGGCAGCGCAAATGCAAAAGCAAAAGGGCAGTGCGAAAGTATAGCAATGTCAGAGCAAAGGCTGAACAGCAGTGGCAGTGCAACAACAACAACAACAACAACAACAAGTGCACAAGTGCTAGCAGGCCAACAACAATAAAGAGCGGGAGTTCCCTCTCCCGGCACCCCTCGCCATCAGTGTGACGACAGCTGTTGGCTCGAAAGAAAATTTACCGTTGACTTTTTGCCCAAAAACAAAGGCAGCAGCTGAGGCTTAAGCAGCGAAAAAATTGTGTTTTATCAAGTTTTGTTGTTGCCTGCGCGCGCTGTCGAGGAGCTCTCACGTGTTGGCGCCGACTGCGACGCCAGCGTGGGCAGCAGCAGTTGTAAAAGTAGTAGGAGCAGCAGCTCCCTCTGCCGACGTGACGTCGGCGTTGATAAATGTGAATGCAAAAAGGAAATTCCCATGCGGCCGTTTATTGTACATTACACCCCCCACCCGCTGCCACCCACCGGCGACGACAGTGATGCTGCTGCTGCGACGCTAAAGATGATGATGATGTTTGGGCAGAGCAGAGAACTGGCGCTGGCCTGCTCGCACACATAAGAGACGGAGAGACGCCAGGCAGCTGTGCCGCCAAAAATATCAAAAGAGGGAGAGAGTGGTACGTATTAATGAGTGCGTGAGTGTGAAGTGAGATCCGTGCTCGCAAGGTGCATATTTGCATTTAAAACGAGTGCTCTCTTCGTGTCCACTGAAACGGAATATGCAACTATCGACGAGAGTGCTCTCTGTCAATGCCCTTGACTATGCACTAAGTCTGGCCCGTGGCCAGGGTATATTAAGCAAAAGGTTAGCGTATTCTGCGAATGCCTCACGCTGTATCCACGGATATTTTCTTTGATCATGACAGGTGGGCCCCTACACTGCACTGAACTCACGCTCCTTATCTCTCTGTCTCTCTCTCTCTCTCTCTCTCTATGTCTCGCCATCCATATGTATGTCAACGTGTCAGACAGAGACAGACACATTTGTTGTTGGTTTTTTTTGCTAATAAGTGGGAGAGCCAAGAGATGAGGAGTAAAAGGAAGAGCAGGATAAGGACGAACAATAGTAAATCATGAGAAAAACATTCTTGTGTGTCATCGGGAGGGGAACAGTCGGCGGAAGACTATTGGTCGCGGGGGTGTATGGTTGTGGGGAGGGGAGGTTCTGGGGCTCAACATACCTAACAATTCCATTGATTTTTCTTCTGGGAATTGTTGTTTGCCAGAGAGTGCGAGAAGTGCGGAGGGTGGGTGTAGGGAAAGCGGCCTACTACACCCATTCGCGGCCCCTCGATGGCAGTAGTCCTTGGGCAGCACCCACACACCCTCCCACAGGTCTCCCCCCTAAAATGACATCGTTCTTGTTGTTTCCTTTTGCTCTTCCCTCTCTCTTGCCATGTTTCTCCGTTTTCCTGTTCTTTCCGTCTGCCCTGCTGTCGTTGAACTTTTTTGCTACTCGCCGTTTCTCTCCCACTCCCACGTATACATGTGTATGTCCTTCTCACCCTCTCCCACCACTGCAGAGAGTAGTGTAAGTAGCGGTTTTTTGCACTGCACTCCTTGCACACTCTCCCTACCCACCTACATACCTCCTCTCTCACCCTTGTGCTGTTGATCAAGTTTTATAGAAAACGGAATTTATGTTAATTTGTTGCTGCATTCCGTAGCCCCACGACCGCCCTCTCCGGGAATATCCCGGAATGCACCGGAATCGCATGGAAAAATTATATGTGATTCGCTCTTGGAGGTTGCCATTGCCAAGGGCTCTCGATCGTACGTCCTGTAACCGTTATACGCGTGTGATATATTGGTCCTTCGAAAAAAAGGTGGGAAAGATAACGGAGCTAAGGATAATCTGCGATGTTCAGGTAGTATTTTTTTTGTATAGTTAAAGAAAACGTTAATTTTGTATTATATATTTTTGGAAACAAGAAAATGAACAACGGGGACCGATGAAGAGGGGGAGTTACTAGTCGGAACGTTTTTGTCGAGGCACAAGCCTTAGGACCTTTCAAAGGAAACCTAAAGGATGTAACTGTAACTGGATGAAGTGCCGTGGCCATATTATTGGACCATTTATTGGACCATCAACCCAGCATAAGTGTCATATAAGCTCCATAGCTTTTTGAGTGCTCCTCTGAAGTATTCCCCGAAGCGAGTGCCGTGGCAGTCAGCCTACGATTCAATTGACATTCCATTCCATGCCACTACTACTGCCTGCTGTTGTTGTCTGTATCCTGTTTTTGTCCCTGCCCTCCCCTCCCTTGCCCTCCCCAGTGACAAGTAAACTTTTTCATTCAAAGTGCATTTACTGTTCCATTCGTGCGCTCTTTCTTTCGTCCCTAGGCTCTGCCAACACGTGGATACGTGCCTGTGCCTCTACCACGGCCCGTGCCGCTATCCGTCCGCCCCCGTCGCCAGCAATGTGCGCCCGGGCATTATCCAAGTGCAAGGGTGACATCCATGCTGCCGCGCCGTCTTTTTCGATACCTCTTCTTCATGGCGGGTATATTCTGTTATCATTTTCTTGCGACCCAAGACAGTTTGTTTCGGTCTTTGGTCTGGGACGCACACCAGCACGCATTTCAGTGTTGTCCACTGTGCGAAGCAGAGGCCAAGGGACAGCCGGGCTCTGTGCTAATGAAGTGCACTCTATTGGATATTTAACTCCTTTTTCGGGGGGTATTTCCCTAGCCGAGGCATCCTCCTTGTCCAAACTTTACAAGTTCTCTCTTGTTTTGCTTTCGCCTTGTGGTTTATCCTTTGCTGTGCCCATTCCCTGGGAAACACTTCAACACTTCTTCTGCTTCTGCTTCTAGCACTTTTCTCTTTTGGAGACAAGCTTGTTTCGCCAGGAAAAATTGAAAATTGGTTGCAAATAATTGGTTTTCCTATTGCTTTCTGCTTTCAGCTCCAAAGACGATGAAAAAAGGCCACAGAAAAGTGTGGGAAAAAAACGAACAGAAGCTGGATCAAATCTAGATCTAAGTACGCGAAAGATGCCACAGAATGGTGCCCCATCTGGTGCCCCATCTGAATGCAAACCTCAAATGGCACTTCCATGATCCAGACACGCACACAGCCTAAACATAATTTAACCGGCGGGAACAAAGCCCCCCGACAACAGAGTCGAAAGACTTCTGTTTGGATACCCTTTCGCGGGATCGATCGTCATGTTCAAAGAACATTTTCAATAGAGAACGCGTTGCGGACCATCCAATATTTTAGACGAAAGCAACAGCTGAAGGTTTCCAGTGTACCCTGGAAAAGGGTATTCACAAAATAGGGGTGCTACCACTACTGCAGTGCCAGTGCCAGTGCCAGTGCAAATGGCAAATGTTTTGTGCTGCATTTCCTTGGCGCTGTCTTGAAGACGTGGCCGGAAATGTGGAGGAAACTTTAATAAAAACATGTCAAGAGCACTTTACGCTACTCGTAGGCACCAGCCACCAGCCACCCCGACCCCCGTGGTGGACCCGCCACCTGCACCCTGCTGCAATACGGCTGCACCACCGGCTACAGACCGCAGCAGTTGTTGTTTTTCGACTTGACCAAGTTTATTGCCTGCCATATGCAATTGCCATAGATTATTTTTTTTTGGGGGGTGGGCAAGACTGTGTGGACATGGCAAAGGCGTCCTAGATTTCTGCCACGCCCACTGCAATCGGACCAAAAAAATAGCCAGAAAGCCAGCCCCGCACTGAAGCTCGACTCCGCTGTGTGTTCTGTGTCCCGGCTTTGACCGAAGCCCGTTGGCTGTTTCTACGCCAATTGCTACGTGATGTTGCCTCGCTTTTTGGCCAATTTTTGGAAGAACAGCAAGCAGACGCAGAGACGGCCCCATTCATGGGCACTCGTTTCCTTTCTGGCTTTAAGTCTGCGACTCGAAACTTGAATTTCTATGTCACTATTTATATTCGCGAATAAAAATGCTTCATTCGGATGTTGCATTCGAGCCACTCACTCGATTCGCATCTGCTTTTGTGTCCATTCGCCTATGGGAAATTACAACAGCAACTCATTTCTCATTAAATAGCGAAAAAGGGTGTTTGTTTCAATAAATTAATAACACTTTTCCCCCAGGGGCTTACCACTTGATCAGGCACATCGAATCGAACTGCTTCTCTGGTCGGTTCATTCATTGGCCTTGGCCCCCGTTAATCGAAGTGGTTTGCTAACTGCCAAAAATGACTGCTTAGAGCCTTGGGAGAGGTAACTGCGATTTCCACGCCCGCACACATACACACGCGTGGCCTCTGGCTCCGAGCCAAAGACGATTTCCAAAAACTGGTGTACATTTAATTAATTATTTATCCACAAGAAAAGGTAAACGTGCCGACGACCACGACGCCGACGATGAGGACGAGGCCAAGGCACGCGAAAAACCCCAAGCCCAGGAAAAAGCCAGAGGCGGTGGCGGTGGCGGAGGCGGAGGCAGAGGCAGAGGAGAGCCCCGTAACCGTAGGAAACATTTTACGATACATCGTCGACATCGTTTTTGCATAATTGATTAAATGACTGGCTATATAACACGGAACGGGAACGGAACGGAACAGAGCAGAACAGAACAGAACGAAACGGAACGATGGAGGAGACAAGAGTGGATGGGACATACAGGAGGTTGTGGCTGGCTACTCTCCCGACGTAAATGAGAATTTACGGCGTAAAGAAATCATACACGTGTGTGTGGGAAAGACAGACAGGCGGATGGATGCCTCGGATGTTGCATGCTTTGGATGCTTATGGGTGTTGGTAAATGTTGTGATTATTGGCTAAATGAAAAATGCAAGGAATCGTCCTGGCAATCGTCGTGCTCCATCCTAACGTGTCGCTGTCATCATCATCGTTTTCTTGGTTTCCCTTTTTTTGGGATAGTTTGTTGGCTAATCGACTGCTGGCCATAAACCCTACTGCCTAGCCGGATACAAGGATGCGAGGAATACAGCATGAAACGACCCTGACACTGAAAGACAGAAGGACCCGGCCAGGAGTAGCCCTGAGAGAGATGATGTGAGTGGAAGGAGGAGCTTTTGAGGAGGCAAATGATTGCATACGGTTAGGCGTATCTGTCACGAGAAGAATCTCTAGTTGTACAGATACTGGTCATCTTTTATGAGACAGTAGATCCGAGTAGATGGTGTCATTGCAGGAATATGTATGTACAGTATGTATTCGAGATTACAGCTGTAATTACGATCGTTTTCCACACTGTCCACACGCATTTCGATGTCCTACTAATTGAAAGTAACTCCTTTCTTTGGCAATGTCCAGAATGAGGCAATCCCTACCTATCGTATAGTTGGCATTCCTTTGTGTGTGGGGTGTCTGCGGATTCCCCTATTTGTTCGACGTTTTCATTGTTTGTTTTCATTGATGGCCCCGATTTCCACCATTTGAACTTTGAACCTTTTAGCCAGAGACAACAACAAACAGCAGGGCAGGCACTTGTTTCTCCTTCATGTCCTTAGCTCCGGCTACAACATGCACCCCTTCCCATACCCCCGTCGTGTGTCTGTCAGGCCAAGCACTTGGCCGCACTGCCACCAGCCGCCATATGCTAATGGCTCGTTGTGTCTCTGTGTGTGTGTGTGTGTGTGTGTGTGTGTGTGTGTGTCGA